AAAAAAAATACATATATACATACACACAAATATGTAAAAGTACAGGGAAGAGATTTAAAACAATAAAAACATCTGACCATCTCCACAAAAAAAAAAAAAAAAAGGAAGCACTATGTTCTCCTCTATGACGTTTACTTGCCAAAAATTTGGGGATACATTTTCAATTTCTAAGTAGAGGAAAACAAAATGAAGTAATTTGGATCACAGATAGATGTCTTGGATTCGATTTTTACTAAGCTCTTAGCATTGTACAACGTTATCGTACTGCTCAGTTAATACCTTACTTCTTTCATCTTCTGATCATATTCTGTTCTCAGTAGCTCTACTTTGTCACTTTTTGTTCTCTCTTCTTAATCCTCATATAAAAGGGATCCAATTTTATACATAAAATCACGAGAAGAAAGTAGAGGTTGAAGCACCATTCATGACAAATGACTGAGAGAAGAGTGGTTTGCTTCTTGTTACTATCATATGCTCTATTTTCTATTTATTAAATTTCAAAACAAGTAATCTCAGCAACTTTAGGGGCTCTTGTGATCCTCACAAAATTAAAATGGATGATTTCTTTAATAAAACCAACTTGAAGATATCAAAATATCAGTGCCAACGAACAGTATAGGGATGACGGATAAATATGTTAAGTTGTTCTTTAATATTCAGATACTGAGTTAAGACACCCCAAAGTCTTTATTCAATATTTCCCATCACCTTACTCTATTAAGAAATTCTGTAACTAGACGTACTATGGTGATCACTTCACAATATATATTGATATATATATATCAATATATCACAATAAATTGAATGATCATGTTGAATTTCTGAAACTAATATAACGTCAATTATATCTCAATTAAAAAAAAATTCCTTCCTTATGTCTATTTTATTAAAATAATGAAAAACAACTGTTTTCCGAAGATATTTTGGACAGTAATTTTCATGTCAACAACTCAGACTTCCAGTTGACAGACGTGAAAAGATTGAGCTGAATTCTGCAACTGTCTTCTTCACCTTCTAAAAGCAGGGAGTTGATGTGGTGAGAGGATGATAACTCTGCACCAAATGCTTAACGTAAATGGTTGGCAGAGTATCAGGTTCGGTCAGTGCTCCTGTCCAGGGTCTGAGGCTCTGGCAAGCGGAGGCCAGCACAATGGCCTGCACCCACCTCAGAGGTGCCACCAGCCTCAGTGCCTAGGACCATGCCTGCCTGCATGATGACAAGGATGAGAAGACTGGGTCCCTTTGGAAAGAAAGGAGAACGCAGTTTGCCAAGACCTTCTGAATCCATCAGCAGAGTGAATAAAAGTGTTGTAGAAAGAATCATCACAAAAAAAAAAATAATAATAATAATTATCTTTCATTTCATAGCAGCTGATAATAAGTAAAAGCAAAAATGGTGAATACCTACTGTTGCCAGGTAACTGCATCCACTGTGCTTCCTGCCACCTTCATGAATCTGTAAGGAACAGAAAGAACAAAGATATTGCAACTTAAAGTAAACCATATCCCCAGGGTTAAAATAAAATAAACTGAGTCATAGATCAGCCCAATCCCTGGGAGGCTATGCTTCTTGAAAGGGTCCACAGCCACAATCATGGCCTATCCATAGCTATTGGAAGTTAAACTATACAGAAGGTGAAGGTAATCATACTTTTAGCTCTCCACATATCCTTCACCATCTGGAATCAAGACCACAATATGATATTCTACCTATATGTGTCGTCCCAAGCCCATGTCTGATGGTTCCCACATTGCTTTCTCTATGATCAAAATGTATCTGTCTCATTTTCTGTTCTCTAAGGACTCTGAGATCCACTAGGAAACAAATAAACAATAATATTTCCCAAGGATGACAACACAATAGATGCCTTTGAAAAACAGGCCTCTCCTTCTGAAGAGAGCATGGGAAAAAAAATTTATCTAAATATAAAGCACTATCAAATATGCCCTCATGATGGGCTGCCACACCTGTCTAAGTGTAGAAACCTGAGCACCACACAGAGAAAGCTAACCATTTCCGCAGCAGCGAAGTAGAGAACTGTCATCTGACAAGCATGCTCAGCTCAAAAGGGAAACCAGACCTGTTTCCCTGCAAAGCACACAGCAAAGCCTTGCTAGCAATTCCCTATCCTCCTATGCTCCTGGAGATTACAGGAGAACCAAAGGGCCGGGAGGAAGTGTCCGAGGCTTCACAGAAAATTGCAAGTCTGTGAATAACTCAATTTACCTACTTGCCTCCTTCTCCCCATCCACATGTTCTGAGGCCATGTGCTGTCATGGCTGATGTTACTAATTGAGAGAGTTACCACACAGACACAGGAAATCAAAAGGAACATCTCAGTGAAGTTTATAAAAGCAGATGAAAAGGAAGGATACTGGGGAAGGTTGGGGAGGAAGGAGAAGGAGGAGGAAAAAGAAGACAGGAGAAGGAGGAGGAGGGAAAGAAGAGGAAGAGGAGACAAGGAGGACAGGATAAGGAGCAGATGAGGAGGAGGAGGCAGCTTGGCCCTTGTCTGTATGGTTTTTGCTCTTTTTCTCCAGTATCATTCAGCAGTCCAGGAGCAAGAAGATGGGAAATGGAGCATGGGAGTGATCAAGGAATGGAATTGGTTTGATGGGCAGGACAAAATGTCAACTGGGAATATAATTACTGAGTACGTACTTAGTACCAGCCATTCACATGTGTTATTTCTGATAATTCTCAACATTGCTTTGCTTGGTGAGGTAGATATTATTGATCCTATTATACAGATTACTAACTTCCCTACTGGCTAGAGAAGTAGTATCTCCAGACACCCCAAACAGCCCATTTTTATGGGGTCATTCTACCCCTCCTAGCAGCACTCCTTGGGAAGCAAGACAAAGGTACCTTCTGCTTTTGGAGCCCATGGATTTCTCTCTTCTCCTCATCTCCCTTCTCCAACCCAGGAAAATCTCCTGAGTCTGGGAGGGTAGCTCCACTCTCCTCACTATTTCTGGCCCTATGCCTAGGTTCCCCCCTTTGGAATTCAAAAGCCAGAAAGGCTTGTCCATTGTCTTTTCCATCCTGCCATGTGTTAGCCCTGAGTCAATAAGCACACAGTCAGCTCCCTGCTTGAATGGAGAGGAGGAAAATGGAAAACTACAGGGAGAAAGAAAACAGATTAGTATCCAAAATAGTATCCCTGCCACACATGTACTCTGAGAAGTGGAGACCTGATGATAATCTTAGAAGTAGAGTGACCGAAAAATAAAGAGAGGAAGATAAAATTTTGCACCCCTTCCCCAGGATATTTTAAAAATTAAAAAAACTAGACAAACTTAGATACAAGTGTCATCTTAAAAAAAGAAATAAAATACTTAAAAAAATTTATTTACGTGGGCTTTACTCCTCCAAAATAACTTTTAAAAATCTCTGAAATAGAAATATTTTATGTGAAACTGTCTCCATTTACATATAAAAATAACCATAATGAAAAGAACACTGACATTTATAGTGCTTTCTCATTATAAAATGTTTTACAGCTTCTTATGTGTATAATTTCACATAACCTTCAAAACAACCCCGATAGCTAGATACTTCTAATTTATAGTGGAGGAGGCTGTGTCTCGTAGAGGTTATGTGACTTGCTCAAATTCACAGAGCTAATGTGGACTAAACCAGGTTCTCTGATTCCAAATTCTACCGGCTTTCTAGGATCCTAAACTGCCTCCAAGCTGTTTTCACTGAGGCCAAGAAGCACAGTACAACTCCAAGATGCAAAAAATAAGTTGAATTTTTGCTTTGAGAAAATACTACCATATTTATCAGAAAAAGGAAAAAGTCCCAAGCACCTTCTTTGCTTGTTGGCTTCCTCTCACAGACTTGAGCATTTCAGTGCCTACTTGGAAGACAATGCACTGCAGCAGGTATCAAAACGTGATTGACTCACTCAGGGCCTCTGCTATAAGACAACCACAACAAGGCTGAGAAAATAGACACTGAGACAATTAGCTCTCAAGAGTCTCTATGTGCTGCACTACCGGTACAGAATAACTGCTGTGGGATAGGAGACAAGGGCGCAGTTAGCTCTACCTTCCATGGTGTTAGAAGAGGGATAAGCATTGAGAAAAGCTTCACATCGTACATGACATTGAATCTGGCATTGAAAGAAGGATAGGATTTTGCTATGAAGAGCAGGCCAGGCATAGGAACAGCTTGAGCAGAGCGAGAAAGAGTCAAGGTAAGTGTGTCCTTAGGAGTCCAGGATGTCAGGTGACAGGTAAGGGGGTAGCAGGAGGTCAGACTGGGATGCTAACACGTCTGGCCTTTATCCCTAAACAACTAGATACAAGTCCAGGTCCTATTTATCTTTGTATGACTAGTGCCCAACATGATATTGTAAAATACAGTTAGCTCCTCCTTCACATATATTTGTTGGATTTATCCTGTGTTTATCGTGTGTTTAAATGCATCAGGATCAGATGTGAGTTTTAGGAAGATTAGTCTGGCTAACGTGAAGGTGAAAGGTACTGGTGAAGACAAACAGGCAGGAGGTGACTGTAGAGAGGTGGGATGCTTTGAAATGTGAGAATGAAAAAAAAGACACAATTGAGAAACACTGTTGGAGCTCTGAAGAGGACTTGGCGGGGAGTTTAAGTGGGGTACGGGGTATAAGTGAGGACCCTGAAGTTTGAATTGCAGTAATGCCATCGCCCAAGATGGGCAACACAGGAATTAACTTTTGATGCTGCTCGTAGATGTATTCCAATCCTCCTGAATATGCCTCAAAGAACTTGAAGTAAATCTTCATTGATGATAACAGCTACACATTCACAAGAAAATTAGGAGGAAAAATACACATCATCAGGGCCCTGCTTGGCTAAAAGGCTCTAAACAGGCAATTAAGAATACACCTAATTTGGTGTCTTAGAAGTTAGAGACTGCTTCTAAATGATACTACAATCTGGAGACCCTCATATGCATTAGATAGTTTGTTCTGCTATAGGTTGATATAAGTCCTTAAATAACCTTCCATTATCAAAAGTAGCATTATAAAAAGAATGGGAAAACTAGAGTTAAGAACATTTAAAGTAATGTTAATGTTTTCTCCTCACATACCTATCCCACATCCCTCAAAGAAAATCTATAAAATCTATAATTAAATATGAAATATACTAGACCCATATGTAGAATATTATATAGTTTACAAAAGAATATTTTAAAATTGCATATAGGAAAAGATCTACCATGATCCTAGATAGGAAAATCAATTATTCTTCCTAAACTAATTTATGGGTATAATGAAATTCTAATAAAAAAAAATCCCAGCAGATATTTTTGAAACTTTAAAAAAATTACTCTAATATTCATCTGAAGAAGCCAAGAAAATTCTGAAAAATTGGAATAATGAAGGGACATTTATTTGATCTAACATTTATTAAAACATGTCATAAAAGTTGTAATGATTAAAATATTTCTAGCTCAGAAATTAGTAACGAGATCTATGGAACAGAAAAGATTTTTAAAAAATTTATATATAGAATTTATTACATGAAAAAGAATTTAGTACATGAAAAAACTGAAGTATTTTTTAATATGTGATTTCTGGCTATTTGGGAAAAAAGTTAAAGTCAGATCCTTACCTAATATCTAATTTTGTATAAGAAATCAAAGTAGTAAAATATAGTTTAGTTTCATTATATTTTTAAAAATATTTCAATCACAATTTAGTATTTTTAAACAAATGATATTATCTTCTTAACTTTAGTAGTATATTGAAGCAGCAGAAAACTTGTTTTAGCTAACTTTGAGAAAACACCATCATATGATATGTCTTCACATGAAAATTACTATAAACTACATTCTTCCTTTTACCTCTTAGCAAAATGATGAGACCAACCTCCAGCATATGGAAGCATTTCTATACTTATTCTGAAGAGGAAAATCTAATTTGCAAATAATGTTAAATAAAATACCCATTTCCAAATATTACCAGGGTGACCAAACACACCCTTGTTTTTTGGGAAGTGTAAAAACTCATCTAAAATGGGGCAAATATTCTGTTTTCAGAAGTCTTTGAATAATATTTTTAAAAAAAACCAACCAGAAAAAGAAAAATCAACCACAGAAATAACACATAAAGGAAACTGATTAGACAAAACTCTAAGGAATAGATATTACAGTCAGTGAGTTTGGGGGTATTCTCCCCACCCCCATGTTCCTTCCATGAAAATTAGGGTGCTCTATCTCTACTCTGTATCTCATTTCTATATTCTGTTTTTATATCTTTATTGGCACTGTGGAGGACAACAAGTTCAAAAAGATCATAATTTTCTTTGTTCAAATCTGACATTGATGGATTCTTCTGCTCTCTAGTTCTGCCTGTTTCTCAGAAACTGGCCCAAACCACATAAATGGATAACTTCAACACAGCTGCAGAGTGCTCAGCAACAGTAATATTAGAGGTGGAATAACATGCACACAGACTAGTGCTG